AAATTTTTTATATGCAAATTTCGCGTATAATAGATACCAAATGGATAAAGAACAACTCGAAAAATATGAAAAAGAGATCGATAAGGGACATCCATACAGTTCTGAATAGCCTATAATTAATTGGTCTCAGATTCTTCATAACCAAGATTTATCAATTTTACTCAATTCTTTTAATTGTCATATCTCACGAAGCACACTCTAAATTTTTCCAGGTAGTGTACCTTGCTTACATAGGCAAAATCTAGCATTACATGAGAACACCAGATGAATAAATCTAAATCTTCCATCTGAGTTAATGTTTTTTTGTCATACAACTGGATGAACCATCACCTTATGTAATGTAATGAAAGACTTTACGTTAATTCCTAGTATTACTTATTGCGCTACTTTGTTAATGTTTCCAATGTTAATTACTACCTGTTCATAAACTCCATTCTACATTTTTTGATTTCTAAGCTTTTCAAGGTATCTAAACACCTGTTGTAATGTACCACTCTCAAGCATTTCTAACGTATTCAAAAAACAAGTTATTGTGAGAATTTTCACTAAATGATTTTACAAAAACGCAACACGTGTTTCGCCATACAATGGCTTCTTCGGGCGTGTCTTTACACGCCCTGCTGATGCTAACTTGGTTTGCGAAACACACTTCAAGAGACACTATTTTTGGTTCAAGTGTGGTGAAGTGTTTTCAATAGATATACCGTGTCTTGGTTATCGATAATCTGAGATTCATTAAACCTTTTTAAAACCCTTGGGTGTCTTTTATCTACCTATAATGTATATGCATCTCTTAATGAAACACTCAATAATACTGTAGACACAGCTTTGTTAAGAAGCCCACTCACTTTAGGCCTAACCTTAGCTATACTGTAGACAAAATCGATTTTCGAAAGACACTTCGTTTGCAAAACCAAGCAGTGGTCAAATGTTTTTGTTTATATCGATTGAAGTTGCATTTTTTCATATACATGCAGAGATACTTGTCTTCTTTCTCAAACTGATGTTTTCTCTTCCATTAAATTCATAAAAAGATAAGAAACTCGGTTATTCACCAATGTCCTCATTCTTTTAGCGTTACAAGAAATTACTTAGATTGGTTGACTTCACTTCCATGGGGTGTTCAAAGTGAGGAAAATCTCAATTTGCAAAGAGCATCTGAAATTTTAGACCAGGACCATTATGGAATGGAAGATATCAAACGTCGTATCTTAGAATTTATTGCAGTTAGTCAGCTGAAAGGCAGTACACAAGGAAAAATATTATGTTTTCATGGCCCTCCTGGTGTAGGAAAAACCAGTATTGGTATGTTTTCTTATTGCATTCAGTTAGTTTGTTCAACTTTCTCAGCACTAACCATTTCCCACTTCTCTAAATTTTGGTAATCCTAAAATATATTCCTACCATTTACTTTGCAAGACATACCTTTTTAAGAACAAACTTGAGGCTTACTACTTTACAATTTAATAAATCCTTAATTTGTTTTAATTTGTCCAACTCACTTTTATAGTCTGAACCTCTAGTTTTTTCTACTTTATTTTTCCCTTACTCTAGGCATGTTTGAAGGGGAGCTGACAGGAAAGAAATTATTGAATTATACATTATTCTTCAACAAATTCAACAGTTTTTCAGATTTTGAGAACCAGAAAATTTGATTCTTTTGTGAAAAGGATCTGCAAAACAGCAACAATTATTTATTTTACAGCACGGTCCATTGCAAGAGCTCTAAATAGGGAATACTTTAGATTCTCAGTAGGAGGAATGACAGATGTAGCGGAGATAAAAGGGCACCGAAGGACTTACGTAGGTGCAATGCCTGGAAAAGTTATTCAGTGCCTAAAAAAAACTAGGACAGAAAACCCTTTGGTACTTATAGATGAGAAGCTTGGAACTCACTGGTCATCTTGGAGATGTAATGAAAGAATCTGCAAAAATAGCCCTTACTGTAGCTAGAAATTTCCTCCATGAAAAGGATCCAGCTAATAAATTTTTATTCACAAAGTAAGTACTCGAAGTTGACATAAATTGCCCGATAATTTTGTTTCAAACGAAAACACACAATTACATATTTTAAAAATTTTATTTTTGGATTCATCTCTTTTGAATACAAAATATCTTGTGAACATTTGTTTGAGTTCTCTGAAACAGTCCAAATTTGAACTTTTCCCGTGTTATGCAGTTTCTTCAATTTGTTTTATAAAAATAATTTTGTTTTCTTGTTTGAAGATTGCCTTTGTTCATGATTCCCAGAATGTTTCTTAAAGTAACCATCTTACATTTTCTCTCGGATACCTTTATTATCAACGGTGGTGTTTTCCATTTGGATGCTCCAACATCAGCCTTCAGTGCACAAAAAGTTTCTTATCTTAATGGACACAAAAGAAAATTGTTCTGAACATTTGGCGAAACCCATAACCTACATTGCCAAGAAAGTATCAGAAACACGTGCATTTCCAAAGTTTTGTAAAAATGCAGTTATTAAGCTCATTTTTTAATCGGGTGATGGGCTGGCAATGTCAAACTATAGATCGATATCATTACTCCCAATATTAAGTAAAATTCTGGAAAAGTTGATTGAAACTAGAATGTTAGAATACAAAAAAATCAACTCATTTCACTTTATCAACTTGGATTCATGGGAGGGAGATCAACTCAGGATGCAATTGCGGACTTGACCTCGAAAATATACTGCTATGGACTGCAAAAAATCTGCAATATGCATCTTAGTTGATCTCGCAAAGCTATTAGTCATTGTCAGCCACTCAGATCTTTTAGTAGCAGTAGTAGTATTTATTTATGTTCTCCTTATGTACAAACGTTCAATGATAATATAATACATATGTGAGAGTAAGTAAAAAGTAGGTGATAATAAATTAAAAAATTAATAATAGTATATGGTTATTTTAAAAAGTGAAAATGATAAAATCAATGATTTATGGAAGTTGAATAATTAAAAATGAGAAGTATATGGATGTCACAAAAAAATAAATGAATTAATTAAACTAATAAGTATAGATACACATGCACTCATGCGCATATATTAAAATGTATCTTGATATGCTGCAATAACATGAATATTAAGTGTCAGTGTTATATCAATCATGAAATCTAGATATTTCATCTTGGTAACAACTTCAAGATATTCATTTCCTATACATGGATGTATATAGTTACTTCCTTCCTACAAGTGAGGTGTAGAAGAATAAATAAATATTTTGTTGAGAAACCAAAAATTCCTGTTATGTTCTGAACATACCTCTTACAGTTATTTACGACCTTTATTCAATTACTGAGACACACGAATTGATAATATCACTAATTTTTTGCAGTCATTTGCATTTACATGTGCCTGAGGGAGCAACCCCTAAGGATGGCCCTAGTGCAGGATGTACAATCGTAACAGCGTTACTGTCTTTGGCTAAAGGACAATCAATAAGACAAGATGTTGCTATGACCGGAGAGATATCTTTAATAAATGGGTCCACTTAAATTGTGTGAATAAATATTTGAAATATACGAAGGTGGCATGATGATGTACCACTAAACTAAACAATTTGATAATGTATTATATGAATAGAAGTGTTTGTTTTTTATCCACATTTATATTAAAAGATGATTTAAATTTCACTTTCAACTTTAATTCCCTGAATAATTTTCTCAGAAGTTTATTTTTGAATAATAAAAAAAGTTAGATGAATAAATGGAATGAGAGTAAACAGACATATGGTTCAATTTTGGTTTCATAATTTATTAAGTCAACAAATATGCCTAAGTACAATAATTCTTTGCTTTAAAATAAAGGTTCATCATGGAAAGTATAATACAACATTCCATAAATTACAATATATAGTTTATTATTTCAGTTTACCAACAAAATTAAGTAGCCATATACAATCCATGACAAACTCAACCATCACTAAAATGGAATGTTACAATTGCTTTCAATAAAATAAATCTTGGTTAATGTATTAATTACAGTTTCATATAGAAAATATACAATTCAAAATTTACATGTTTTTTTTATAGAAAAAGCATAGCTATCACCTCTTTAATAATACTCAATAATCAGATAGTTTCTTCAAAATCACACAAAACTGAATAAATTAGGATCAAAAACAGTTTATCTATAATAAGTATCTATTTATAGTATATTGAGGTGTCATTCCTGTCTGGTGAAGATTTGGCCATAGTACATTCGCATAATTGGTAATCAACCATAAAAGAATTATTCAGTTTTTATTTGGTGGTAAAACTTGTGATTTCCAAAATTCTACTTTACAGACTCAAGAGCTTTCAGGATCTGTACAGGATCTAGAGAGATTACGATTTTGAAAAAGTACTTTAAAAAATCAAATCCAGTATCGACACATTGGTTGGAACACTATTGGTTTGCACCAATAACTCATTTATAGATTTTTTAAGTACAAAATTTTATATTATAAAAAATTATTTCAAAGAACATCAAGTTCTAGGAGAACATTAAAAAAATTCATGCACCCTTACAACTTTTGAAATAGAGTCGATATGGTTCTTTCATATTTGTCTAAAACTGAGAGTTGGTGTTTTTTTAAACTTAATTGGTTTGTAAGTAACAACTATTACTTACAAATTTTCAAGTTATCGGCTCAGAATTTTTTGAAAAAGGGCAAAGGAAGCATTTTTTTGAATTAAGTACATATTCTATCACATAAACGGGTTGATTTATCAACATGCCATTTTCAATGTTGAAAATAGGTTTGTGAACCTAAAATGTTTTTTCAATGCTCAAGTTCAACTCCCTTTGAATAGCAACTCTCAAACGTTGAGACTTGGGTGAGCAAATAATTTATTCATTTATTTAGTTGTATAGGAATACAAATGGGACAAACCCAAAGACAGTATTCACATATAAATTGTAAATGCTATTCTAAGAAAATAGATATTGCAAGCAGTGGTCAAAGTATGGCACAAATTACACATCCGAATTAAATTAGGAGAAAACATGTTTCTTTAGTTTCAACACGAAGGTGGTCAAGGAATTAGAAAAAATATCAATGTCTATAATATTTGAAATACAGTTATAACTTTTCAGACAAAGATGCAGAGGTAAATACATGAAGTAATTTGTGTTTGTTAAAGATGTATTAAACAATTGATATTATCGGATAGGATATTGTGGAGTATTATATTGAATCAGATCTTTAATTGAAATGGTATGGTCAATACATTCAGAATTTTGATGGTGAATCTGGTGTAAGTGATACCTCTTCTTTTAGAAAGACTGATTAGGTTCAATTCTCGACAAACTTGTCAGTTATTTGGTGAGTCTCTAAAATATTTTTTTGTTGACGTAATCTATGAACTTATTTTGAATGGTCACATGATATTATGCATTGATAACATTGAGCAATTCATATGACATACTCGTTTAGAGCGATCCATACAAGTCGTCCTTTAAGTACCGGAGTAGAGCATTGGAACCTGCATTCAAAATGGCATACCAGAGCATGAGCTGAACCATCATATAAAATAGCAGTAACTTCGTGAATGAATTTACCAACAGGATATCAATTGAATCTATTTCTATAGTAATTATTTGCAACTTAGATATAAAAATAAATACTGATTCTTTGATACCCAGGCAAGATTCCATTGCATGATTCCAGTCAAGTGTTGACTAAATAGTTTTTCAGCTAAAATAACTGTGGGTCGACTAGCCCTACATATTATTTTTCATGGCTTCTATGACGAAACGATTCCTTCTAATAATAAAAATTTCCAAATATTTTCAATAACAACTCCCATCTTTTGAAAAGCGAAAAGTCTTACATTGAATTGGATCATTCAAAAAATGATCTCTTAAATGAATATAGTATACTTGAAATTGAAATTTTTTATATGCAAATTTCGCCTATAAGCCGCTGGTTTTCACTACCATTTAAGCTACTATAAACAAGTCATATCTATTCGCAAAATATTAGCCATTAGATATTGATATCGTGACAACAAAAATGAGAAAATTAGGGAAAATGCTGAGTGTTTTTCTAGTGAAAAAATGCAACATTTTTTCAGAAAGTTTCACCTACCAAGATGGCGTCATAAGGAGATGACCTGAACAGTTTAGATAATTTAATATTTTCTTTCAAATTATACTTTAAATGTCTAGGATTTGTAAAGTGATTCCCATTGATGACCTTAACCTCTTGAACTTTCACAAGAAATGTAATCCAATTTATTCAGAATATGTATAATTTTTAGAAGAAATTAGTTAAGCAATTTCCAGAGATGAGTGCTACATTTGAACTACATTCCAACTATCGTCAATATTCACTGTTAATTACTGAGTGAAATGAAATGACACCAAAATGGAGTAATAGTTGAATGCAACACATATTTCTGGGAAAGTTGATTTCCAATTCAATAAAATTGTCAAATTGCTGAGCACTTTTTCGTAATTTTTTTTTACAATTTTCCTTAATAAAAATAACCATTAAACAATACTGCATAATACTTTTCATTAATTACAAATTAAAAGATTAGGCTTAAATGGTAAAAAAGCTTCTATAAAATAGCAATAGCTATGATAAAAATGTACAAAATTTTACAGTGGCATATAAATAAATGCTTACTTAGTGTGGCTACTTTTTACAAAACTGATTGCCATATATACTCCTGATAGAATGTGGGTGAAACCAAATTATATACGAATGTATAAAACAAAGCTGCCTTCAAATATGATATAGTAATGATAAATCATGTTATAATAAGTAATATTAAAATACGTTTACATATCGATAAAGTTTATGTTACTCTTAAAAAACAAAGAAAAAGACAAAAATTTAAGTAATATATCCTGTTTTGGGTATGGGACTTGAAATCAAATTGAATATTATTGAAACTGTCATAATATTCTGAAGGTTTTCTGATAATTTGTTCGACAATATACCAGATTCAAATAAGTTGACCAGCTATTCTCATTTTAATTCCAATTTGGAATTACTATTCAAAACATCTAGATACTCTTAATAAATATGACTGTTAGTTTGTGAAATGTTCGCAATACATTAAATTTTTCACTGACTTCTATTCAGCACCTTCACCTATAACAATTTTTCTGTAACTTTATCACTCCAAATAAGGAAGTGTTTTAAAACATTGTTGACGCATTGATTTATCTTTGTTAATGTCTTGATTTAATTTTTCCATAATCAAAAAATAACAAATTGAAATATTACATTTGGAGAGTATCAAAGATATCAACTGTCAAAGAATAGTTCTGGTCGATTTGAATTTGGTAAGGTTGAACTAAAATTTTTTGTATAATCTACCGTTTTTCATTTAAAATATATGTAAATTCGAAATTAATTTCAGTATTATGTATTTAAAAAATTGGGATGACACTTCCAACAATCAGAGAACAATGTATAATAAATTACTACTTACATAAATTATAGTATGGCAAATGCAGGATATAAAATGATACAATGAATAAATGGGTCCACTTAAATTGTGTGAATAAATATTTGAAATATACGAAGGTGGCATGATGATGTACCACTAAACTAAACAATTTGATAATGTATTCCGCTCATTCTAAAAAAATCACACAACCTTAATTCAATCAGAAACTAACGAAGTTTTCTGAAGAATTACTAACGGAATTATTTAAAACACACCTGAACATTAAATCAGGATATTGACAGCCATCGAAACAAAACATAACAATTCAACTCAAACCTGTACATTCTGCATAACTTTTTCCTGCAGTAACATTCTCATGTCTGTTTCTAATTGCAGTTTATTTTTGAGCTCCTCTATGGTTTGATTTTGTTTTTCCACCAAAATTTCCAACTTTTGTAACCTTTCCAATATGCCTATATATTGAGCACTAGTTATATTTTCCTGAATATCTGTATTTGGTTTGACTAATTCTATCTTCTCTGATGATACTGGACTTTTGCTTGCTACAGAAGTAACGGGCGATACTTTGGGAGGTGAAGGAGCTGGAGGCTTAACAGTTGTATTATCTTTTGCTATCATGCTGGGCATACTTATGGTATGTCTGTTAGGTGCTGGAGGTAATTCTTTAATATTATTATTAATGGCGCTCTGTCGGTGTGTTATAACAGTGGAAATGGCAGGTTTAGATTTTATCAAAGGTACTTTCTCCAATTCACTTGGCGAAGTTTTCAACTTGGAGTTGAGCGATTTTGATAATTCCAGAGATGGCATGGATTTGGACATATCCACCTGTTGAAATAAGATACATTTATGAGAAACATAAATATTGACTATCATATATTTTCTTTTAAATACCAACTCTGATTTCCCCTTTACAAAAAACAAAAGCATTTGTAACCTTTCAAATGGTGCCAACAAAATGATAGGAATGAAAATTGAGAACAAAACTTCCTATGCTTTTTTACCACTTGTATTTGTTACTAAAATTACTGTAGTTTCGTCCTAATCGAATATTTTCAAACGAATACAATAAACGTTTGAAAAATGTTCGTATAGGACGAAACTGCAATAACGGTAGTTACAAATACAAGTAAAAAAAAATGAAAATGAATTATTGGTGAAAGACATAAATGCAAAATTTCAGCTCAATCGGTTAAAGAGAAGTTCTTTAAAATTCAGTTGAAAGATATGATCAGAACTAACATACATACAAACATTGCAAGTTGAATAAAAGATTAGATTGGATTTACACAAACAAAAGTGACAAAAAAAAAGACAAAATTAAACATAAATTTAAAATCCCAAAGCTATAGGGAAATCGTAACAGTACATTGAGCATATTACAAACCACCAAGATAGAGTCTCAAATTTCTGCTAACACAGTTGCCCGTTTTGAACACTGGTCAAACCACCAATGCGAACATGAAAACTTGGTAAGTTAACTTGAATGTCACACCAATTGATGGTTCTACTTATGTCTTGCTTACTTTTACACAGTGATTTTTATCAAATACTTGTTTTGGTTTTCCACAGTTTGCCTTCAATTGAGGACTGCCTGCCCAGTACTGCCCAATAGGCCAAAACAGCTGTATTCCGTAGGCTCTTAAATTGAAATCAAATTTTGAATGATCGGAAAATTACTCATGTATTTATCTTTTCATTTTCATGGAATTATTTGGTTGACTCAGGAATCAGTCGTACAAATGTTTTCAAGATCCTTCATGAGTACAAATTTCACCATATAAAATTAGACTAGTTCATGAATTGAATGAAGATGATTTCAATAGAAGTTTCGAGTTTTGTGAAAGTCTCACTGAACGGAAAAACTTGCATCAAAATTTCTTGTATGAAATTTGTTTTTCGGATGAATGTACGTTTAGTTTGAATGGAGAGGTGAATCGGCAAAATTGTCGATATTGAAGTTAAAAAAATCTGTTTAAAATCTGTTTTTCAGTTAACCAGCTGTCGCACCCCTACGAACGACAACTCTCAAAAGTCGAAACTTGTGCGAGCTAAGGATTAACGAGGTCTTACCTTTTAACGTGTGATTCCTAACACGGGTTGGAAGATAGCAAGTGAAAATCGATCGTTCAGAATAGGGCTTGAACCACCGACCAACACGGTAGTCAATTCGAGTTAAGTGAACGAAGCACCCACGTCGAACCACTTGGCTACCGATCGATACCAATCCTCATTTATACCATCAAGTTCATACCCAACTACCTCAAAAACTGAATGTTTGGGCAGGAATTTCAGGTGACCACATCATAGGACCTTTTTTTATCAATGATAATTTGACTAGTGATAAATATTTGGATATGTTGGAGAATCGAATAATACCACGCATCAATAGGGCAACTGAGGAGGATATAAATTTATTTGAAAACGAAATAAATTTTCAGCAGAATGGTGCACCTCCTCATTATGCAGCTCCGGTGCGACAATTTTTGGATGATCATTTTTCTGGTCGCTGGATTGGCAGAAGAGGTCCTACAGAATGGCCACCAAGGTCTCCGGATCTCACTCCTGTAGATTTCTTTCTATGGGGTCATTTGAAATCTAAAGTGTATGAGACATAATCGACAACATTAGAAGATTTGAGAGAGAATATCATGAGGTATTGCAGAGAAATAACTCCCAAGAATATCAACCATGTGAGGGCGGCAATGGAAGCTCGTTTGTACCTTTGTATGGAAGTTGGTGAAAACGTTTGAACATTTACTATAACAAATTTTGTTCTTATCATTGTCCAGTCATCAGATTTTGATTCAAGAATTAATAAAAAATATCTTTTTCTGATTTATTGCTTCCATATTTGTCTCTAGAACGAATATTTCAAAATGTGGCCTTCTATATGATTGTTGACCTGTTTTTTATTTTTCCTGCAAAGCATTGTTTCAAAAGTTATTCAGGGTGGCTCGTATATATATATTTGATGTTCAGTAGTTCAAAACGTGTTTTGAATGAAGTTTATAGTGTATTATTCATTACGAGGAATGGTGTTATTATTTACCATCAGGTAACAGATCACTGTATTCATATTTCAAAGTATCTTTTGAGATGATGAAAAGTTTTTTGGGGTTGAAAATAGAAGTTATAGACAAGAGGGTTGAAGGGATCTTTGAGATTTTCTTAAACATCTTAAAACCCTTGTCTATAAAACCGTAATTGCTCAGAAGGCAATTTCATATTATAAGTGTCATTCAATCGATGCATGGTGGGTCATTTTGCCTATTAGTGTGGCAACTTCATATTATAAGTGTTATTCAATCGATACATGGTGGGTCATTTTGCCTATTAATGTGGCAATTTCCTTTGCAACAATCCTCACAGCACATCTTGATATTTTTTAAAAATATACGCAACTTCATATTCAAACTTCAATTTGTTATGTATAACAATGAATGATATCAATCAATTCATGAACGGAAAATTGAAGGGGGTGAAACAAAAAATTTTAGTTTTCTGTCGCATCTTAAGAAAGAGTGAAAATAGAAAACTATAAATTGAATTGTGGGTCGAATCTATAGTGATGTTGTGACTATTGAATCAAAAAATCAATAACAACTACTGAAAAGAAAAATATCGAGAAACAAAGCAAACCTCTTTCTCAAGTGGAGATAATTTATTTGGCTTCAGGTCTTCAACATCAATACTCCTCTCAGTCATTGGTGCCAATTTGCCAGGTTTATTTTCTGGTCCAGGAGATATTGAGGTTCTCTTGGCTTGGTTCAGCTTCATTTCTTCTAACCACGGAGCCTTGTGTTTCTCCCATTCTCTCAAACGTGGTTTTTCACCATCAGTTTCTGAAACGTGAAGACCAAGAGATACTTCAGAGGAATCAATGAAGTGATCAACATTGCCGTTAGGTATTGAATGATCTTCATCATCCTTGTGGACAGTTGTTGGTAGCCTTCGACCTGAAAAAAAAAATAGTTAATAATACATGTTTCAATCGTCTTCATATTTGAATCAAATATTTCAGTTTTACTAATAAATTATAATATTTTGCTTTTACTTTTCGCAAATTTGATGAAAACATTGTGGTACTAATATTTTATGCAAATTTAATGCAAGTCTGAATTTTGATTATTCAACAAAAATTATTTTCAACCAAAATTAAACAAATGTTCAACTCAACTTATTGTCTAAATCCATTTTGAAATATGATGACCATTTTTACATCACTCACCTTCATAATACAATAAAAATGGTGATACTTTTTGAAATATATTTGCTTTATTGAAATACAGAAAGATAAGCAAATGGTGTGTCTACATATAAGGATGATGATAGCAATTCTGTGAAGATTTCTGCACTGACGCCTGTCGGATATAATCCAACGCCCTTCGTGGTATTAGCCAGGGGAGTAGTTGTTTTCTGATAGGCGTCAGACCATTAAGCCTACTGTGTAGGTATATAGAGACTGGCTTGAACGTTTGAAGTTCATTTGCTTTAGATAAAATAAATATAGTTTAAAAAACTAAAAAAACACGCTTTTAAAGAACATCGAACTAAAAAGTTGAAAATAGTTTTTTTAAGATAAACTTAAAACAATAACGAGTGAAAAATACTAGTATTATTGGGAAAATAGCGACGGGCGCTTGATATACAAAAAATATGGCAAAAGGCGCCAATGATTTTTTCACAATAATACTAGTATTTTTTGTTCGTTATTGTTTTGAGCCTATTTAAAAAATATATTTTTAACTTTTTAGCTCGATGTTCTTTGAAAGCGTGTTTTTTAGTTTTTTACAGTAAATTTATTTTTCATTTTTTAGTTTCGTATGCTATAAAAGCGTGCTCTTCAGTTTTTTAAACTATATTTATTTTATCTAAACTTTGGGATCAATCAGCCGTATATTGTTTAGAAAAATGACCATTGATATTTTCCGATTCCGGAGAGGGAGCCTGAAAATCAGCTACCAAGCCCAGGCGCGCAAAAGAGGGTTACAAATAAGGCAGCAGGCACGCGTGTTAATAAAAAAAATACTTTTTTCAAATGAAGAAATACATGTAAAGTGAGCTCGAATTATATCAAGGAGGTTACGTACAGCGTCATCTACCCGGGAATAGATCAAGCAATAATGTCGATATATTAAGGAGGTTATGTACAGCGCCATCTGCCCACGAATAGATCAAGCAAAAATGTTATCAAGGAGGTTACGTACAGCGCCATCTGCCCGCGAATAGATCAAGCAACAATGTCCATAATTATGTCAAATGCAGATCCCGAGGTTGAGAGTTCCAAGCAAACAAACAAAGTTACATACATACAAGTGAAAGCGTGTTGAAAAAATCTACACAGTTTATTCGAATTGTTCATAATTAACTTACATTAAGACTTCCCTGATAAATTATAGCCTAAGCCAACTAATGTTTCGTATATCTGAATTTTGGAAAAGTGAAAACATTAACATAAATTGAAGTTTATTTTCTAGAAGAATTGTCTGCTTTCATGAATGTAGATAGTATTCATGATTGGGAACTTTCCTAACCAATAGCTGTACAAAAAATGGGACAGAAAATAGAAAACTTTTGTATTTTCGGAAAAGCGGCCACAAATTTTTCAACGTCTCAATTAATCATACTGATATATCTATTCGAACTACTTCGCAGATCAACCACCCACGGGTATATTATATTTTGTTTTATTTTTATTTCAGTTTTCATGTGTTCATTAGTTATTGATCATTTATTTTCTATTGCATTTATATTTTCAATTTTCAATAATTCATTAGTATGTAATTAATTTTAAATATCCTCAGTTATTTCATTATATGTATATTTTAATGGTTGCATGGAAGAACTAGAAACGTTTCATATTATGTAGATATGTTTATCGTCTACTGAATCCTGCCCTTTGATAGATACCGATGTTTTTTAATTTTCCTGTCATCATTATTATTATTATATGAGAAGGTTATAGATTCCCCTACGACTTTCGTTAAACAGTCATTTATTTGGTTGTGTCCTACAAATTAGATGTTTTAAGGGGCCGTAAAGGTACGATCAACATGTTCAAGAATAAATGTCTTCGAAGCAAGTCTAGGAATGTCTGAGGCATGACAAAATAAATTTCACTTTTTGACATAAAAAAACAAATTTGACAAAATCCATACAAGAATAGAGGTCACTTTCTGACAAAAAAACATTTTTTCCAGTCCTAATTGATATCTGAATTTATGAAAGTTGTAAGAGAACTATTGACAAGTTCTGCCCCCCTTGATTGGGTTATTGTTTTTCAAACTGATAACATAAGGGTAATAGGTATCAATTGACCACCTGAAAACTCAGCGTGAGCTTGTAGTCATAATAAATTATCAAAATCCCAGTGAGTTATTCAATGACAAGATATAACACTTTACCACAAATTAGGTTTGAGTCATCGACGTTGCCTCAGAATAAATTTTAACTAATGACTTCATTATATTCAAGAATAACTGAAAAAAAGAAAGTATGATGTAACTCATGTGAATTATGAAATTACTCATTTTATTGTCAATTTAATGTCGCGACATTTAAATGGAATTGTTTAAGAAAATAGGAAATACATAAAAACAAAACATCTATATTCTTTCGTAGATAAGACTTCATTATCTGGATCAATAGAGGGCAAGTCTTTGAAAAATCAGTTGTCCAACAACACTTTACACTATTCAATTTTATAAAATGGTTGAATTATTTGTGATATATGTAATATTGATTACATATATAGTGAAGTAGATTTGCGGTTAATACCACAAAAATCTAAAGTTGCTTATACAAATGAATACAACTTCATCGACTGGACAGAAGAAACAAATGGTAAAAGACGTATATTAAGTTGTGCATTCTTACCCGCACAAAATATTGGAGCAAATATTGATCCGTGCCTGGCAAACTCATAAATGTTTTCCTTGCCTGGTTTACTGAGTGTCATGACACTCAGTATATGATCAATCTACTCCTGTTCGCCAGTTTCCTCAGTTTTTTGCAGTATTCTCAGACCGGACTCGATGTAACTTTTGGGTTCATCAGTGAACCAAGTGCAGCCTGGCTGTTTGTGAAAGTAATGATCCGCTCACTTCATTGAGGCCTTAAATTAATGTTCCTTGCACGTTGAAAGACTGCACTTTTCAGTCTGGAAGAGTGGTGTGTACTGAGTGGATTACTGAAATGAACATTTCTCCCTTCACAGTATACCAGGTGTTCCTGCCGAGCATGTTCTCAGGTTGACTATTCATTCTCAACTTTACGCGGTTTAAAACTTTAACCGCCTAGTTTTTATTGAGCCCATTTTAGAGGCCTGCAGATCTGAATTTGTTCAGGACTCCGGCGATGGTCCCTTGAAGAGTATTCTATTGGGTGCATACTTGAGTCTGTAAGACCTCCTTGTATGTAAAAGAATCAGAGACGAATATTTTATTGCTCTCAACCACCCTATAATTTTAAAATCATCCAGAAATATTACTGAAACTTATGCCTCATTTGATAAAGGGGTCACTATAACTATTGTATATGAAGATTTAGAATTACATTTAGGAGCAAATGATCCAATTGACCCTCCGGGAATTAGATGAACGAATTCAACAGTAAACAAATAAATTGATTCTCAGAGCATAAACTGACTATGAAAGGTAAAAAAAAATGAAGTTATCAATTTGAATTCACCAACACAACCAGTAAAGTATAAACATTTTATGAAAAGATGGAAACGATTTGCTTTCTATCGATTTTAACCCAATGGTCATTGTAGAACTAGAAATATTAATTGTGCAAGACAATATTCATTTAGGAAAGAAAGGTTTTGGCATTCTACTTTTCCATCTTTATAGAAAAAATGTGAAAATCTAACAAAGGAACCAATCAATTTAAAAAAGTTAACTCTATACAAAAATGTGTAGGCCATGCAAAGAAGTAGTTTTCAGACACAAACTGAAAGAAAAATAGTTTAGAAACAAATACTTTTATAGGAACACTGAATTATACAAAAAACATTTTTCTGTATTTCTACTACTCATGTCATCGATAACATTACGCAATGACGCATGGGCTTATTTGACTAATTCCCACCTATAGAAATCTTGTATATTGTGTAGCTATTCTGTGAATTATATCTGATTCAATTCCATAACGAATGATTGAAATACAAACTAAATAGAGAAAAGGTTGTTTTTTATAATTCATTGTTCAATAGTTAAAGGGTTAAAGGGAACAGAATCTGGGCTGGTAGATCTCGAAAGAATTGATAATTTAATTGAGAACAGTCCCTATAATAAAACACCTAGGAACAGATTGCTAATGATGGTTTCAGAAGTGAAAAACACTCAAAACTTTGAACAGGCGTCTACAGGTTTCTAATCCAACAATTTCTAAAATATATGATCCACCAAAAATTCCCAAATTGAAACCCTCCCAAACTCACAACTGCGTTTTCGTTTTGGTAATCTACATTATTTCATAGAAAATTGAAGATATAAAGTCGGGAGACTTTAGATTTGATGTATCCTCTTTGTTTCCCTTAACCAAAAACTATTGAATGTTTGTGAGACATTCTGAAAGTCAATGATCTCTGTGGATTAATAAAAGTCCGCAAGGAACAGAATTGTTTTCGATTCAATTAGTGGTAACTTTCACTAATATCTACCTGAAATCATTGATGTGATTTTGAAAGTGTACTATGTTATATATAAATATGAGTTAGGAATCAGCGCACTTCATTACTTGCAAAATGGCGACGGATGATGATGAAAATTTTAAGCGTGTTTATAAATGTTGTAAAACGAAAAATGCAAGTAGTATACAGTGTCTAAATTGTGGAGAAGTCTTTCACTACAGTTGTGCAAAAGTGAAAAAGCTGGAATTTGTAAATGAAAATAAGTTTTTGCTGTGCTGTACAGCTTCAACTGAAAATGGTAGACCTAACCAAGAAATTGGACCAAACTCGATAAAGAATTATATACGTGAGATAGAGCAATAAAATAATAATAAAATAATAATAAAATAATAATAAAAAATAAAGGAAAAGTCTGATGAGCTAAACTCATATCTTCAACAATTTCTTTGTAAACATTGCACAAAATGTAATTAATGATCTAGATCCTGCGGGGAGAACTTTTGAGGACTACATGCAACATACTCAGCAAAATATATCCTTTAAATTTAAAGAGATAACTTTTATCCAAGTGAGAGATAAAATAAGTTGTTTGAAAAACAAAAACGGCAAAGATAATTATGAATTCACCACTTGTATTATAAAAATCTTAAAAAATCGTATTGTTTATCCATTGACCCAACTTTTAAATCTCTGTATAACAGAAAGTATATTTCCACTGTCCTTAAAAATTGCAAAAGTGATTCCTGTTTATAAAAAAAAGGTTCAATTCATGACAGAAATAATTATAGACCTATTTCACTTCTACCGATATTTTCAAAGCAACTAGAGTCGCTAATGAGGGATCAAATTATAAACTATTTTGAGGTTAATGGTTTGTTTGTGGATGATTAATATGGGTTTAGGTCCAATAGATCTACTGTGGCTGCCATTGATGAGTTGTCAGATATTGTATTGAACGGCTGGGAGCAAGGACTTGATACATATGCTTCTCTATTTGACCTGACAAAGGCTTTTGATTGTGTCTCAACTGATATATTGATAAAAAAACTAAAGTTTTACAACTTTCATTCTGATAATATAGCCTTTCTCAGGTCCTACCTAACAGTACGTTCTCAGTATGTTATATATACTGAGATATTATGCAATTGCATCATGGAGTCCCACAGGGCTGTTTTGGGGCCTCTACTCTTCTTGATCTATATAAATGACTTAAAAGTCAATGTAGCTGGCTCGAAACTCATACTATTTGCAGATGACACCACTCATCTGCAAGTATATCATCCGTTAGAACCAATTCAAGTAATTGTGGCTGAGGGACAGAATCAGATAAAAGAATGGTTCTTAGCGAACAAACTTTCTCTTAACCAAAACAAAACCCAAAATATCAATTTTACCCTCAGACCTCTGTATTCAGATCTGCCAAGAAGTGAAGAGGTTAATCTTCTTGGAATAATTATTGATAAAGGTCTAATATGGGAAAAAAACATTATTCAACTATCGTCTAAGCTCTCAAAAATTACATATATGATAAGATCACTTGTTAAAACTGTATCTAGAGAAACTATAATGTCAGCTCATTATGGTTACTTTTATTCAAACATGACATATGCTGTGCTGAGTTGGGGTCACTCTTCCCATTCGGAAAAAATGTTTAGGCTACAGAGGAGATGCATCCGTATTATTATGAATCTCAAATATCGCCAGTGCTGCAGACAATGTTTTGCTGAGCTTAAAACACTAACATTTTCTTGGGCATATATACTGAACTGCATTAAATTTTCTATAATAATAAACAAAAATAATTAACATATAGCCAACTCCATAATTATGAAACACGGCATAACCAGGACTTTATTCTTGAATATCACAGACTGCATAGAACCAGAAAAGGAACTGACTACTATGGTATACATTTCTTTAATTGCTTGCCAGTGACCATAAGACTCCTTGAGGAGAGATTATTTTTCAAAAAAATCAAAGATTATTTGGTGAAGAAAGCCTTTTATTCAATTCAGGAATTCTTGGATAATAACTTCGATGACCTAATATGATTGTTTAAATTGTATTCAACTCAACGGAGAAAAAAATGTTATTTTACTCATTTTATTTTTTAAACTGTAATTTTATAATTGTATGTATTCTTGTAAATTGTATTCTTGAATTGTATTCTTGTCTTGTAAATGCACGATGTGTATTATTACCAATAAAATTGATTGATTGTTGACGGCAATTTGGTGGGTGAAAAAAGCGTCGAGAAGACTGTTGCAGTTCTTCCAAAAGTTACATCAGAGGTGTAACTTTTGGAAGTGAATAAAACTAAGAAAAATTGAGATGGAATCTATTATTGGTGAGACATCTTTGTGTGAAGTATGCTTACAGTATCACGAGATAAGAAGTTCAACACCAATATAGAACAATGGAATAAATACTAAACAGAGAAATAACTCTTGTTCCCATTTCTTTCCTTAGATCTACAGGTAATTCACAAAGTTACCTAGGACCAAAAACATTTAATTAACTATTTATGTGAGTGTAACAATCTGACATTAAGCAAAAAAGTACTGAAAACCTTTCTTCTGAATGAAGCCTAATAATCTCTTAACGACTTTCTTGTTTCATGCAGCCGTTGGTTTCGATGGTTTGAACAATGTTGCACATCTTCAACTGTAGTAAAATATTTTTTGTAGAGTCTTGTATTTGTTATGTGACTATTCCTATACAAATATGAATTTGTCTTTGTATTGTAAACAACTATAAAAACACTCACCAGGAGCTTTCACTCTTGTAGCTCTCACATCAGTCAACAAGGGTCTCCTCTCCACTTGGTCGAAAGCATTTTCCGAGCTGTTGTCTTTAGTTTCTAGCTGTTCAGTCTTTGGAGGTGAGTTTTTACTACTTGTTGCACCATCAACAACATCGACCAATTTCTTTTTGATTTCAGAAAACAATCCAGGGCTGGTCCCTGAAGGAGACTTCTTGAGAGATATAGAAGGTTTTTTACCAGGAATCGGTGGGCTCTTGTTAGATGTTGGGCTAGGATCAAGGTTGACCTTATCATTTTTTGCTTCTGATTTTTTATCATTTTTCACTTCTGATTTTTTATCATTTTTTATTTCTAGTGATTTTCTTTGAGACGCTATGGAACTTGGTTTGATGGCACCTAAAAGAAATTTATATATATAAAAAAAAGTTCATTTTTTCAATATTTAAGAAAAGTAGCAGAACAGCTGCTGAATCTCTTTCGATAAATTCAAAGTTTTGCACCACCACCTTGATGCCCTCAAATACCCAATGTCACTGAGCAGCAAAATGGAATATTAAGATTTAGAAAGTGATTAATGAAGAATTATCACACATATAGGTAGGATGAAAATATTCTATTCATATGTGAATTTTAAACATTTAATATATGTGATTGATGACTTGTTTATTTTGTGGTAATTCATGATCACTTTAATGAAATGAATAAAAATATTTTGTCTAATTTCCACTAGTTAATTTTATTTATACACCCTACAAGTGTAGAAAAGGCAGTATATTGCTCTGATTTGTTTCTAATTCTGCATCTTCAATTTTTCCCTAAGTTTGTGTTGCCAATGGAATATTGGCCACCCTGTATAAATTTGTTGCCTGAATCAAGAAAATTTACATGGCTCTACTAATCAATAAACTTTATAGATATTTTACGAACCATTTCAAACAAAAATTTGTTTGAGATTGAAAAGAAATATTTGAAAACATAAAACGTTTGTTTCAAATTCGAAATGGGTTAAGGGTTCATAAAATAAAATTGATGATTAGTGAGATGAAATATCTTTATCGAATGTGACAATGTAGCTTTTGAAAATACTCAGCAATGTAATATTAGAAGTCTCATAAATAATTAGTGACCTTTTACACAAGTTCAAATTCATTTTACCTAAAACACAGTTTGATTCATACCTTTTTCAGTAACTATTCTAGATGATTTATTATCGTCCCTAATATTACTTCTGTCTTCAGCACTGGAAATAGGAATCACAAAATTATCAGGAAATACTCCAATTTTTCCATTTAATTCTCCTTGCCACCACCCTGGGTCCTGACTATCTTTATTTATCAATACTATGATGTCGCCTTCTTTAAAGGAGAGCTCATCTTCGTTCTGAGCTTTATAGGGAAATTTGGCTTCACACAATTGTTTCACTGAAATATATAGAATACACTTATATATATATGTAACTCCATACAGAATAATAAGCAATCAATTGAATTTTATTCAGAAGCTATGTATTTATTAGTATGAAAAAAAAACTACTTTTACGGCTAATATCACGCTGGATATTGAATTATATCCGACAGATATCTATGCAAGATACCTCACCAAGGTTAGTCTCGCATATGTTTCTCATTCATCCAACAGCAAGACCATGCTGAAATAGAACACCTATAGACCGGTTTCGAGGTATTACCTCTCATCAGTGCAGGAAAGATCCGACCCAAACAGCATAGTACCTATGACTCGCTTAATTTCAACGCAGCTCAACTGCATGTATGAAACCTTTGTCTAAGAGAAGATATCTATCTACCTGCAGTGTAGATAGTTGGGAGAGATGAATATTTCGTGATTTCATTTCGAAATATTCATTTTCTATTATGCATGTATCTCTCCTCGAATTAGTCTTCAGAAACGGTTTGATTTCTGTTAGAGTATTGGTACATGGGACGTTTCTTCTCCGCTTGGTGCTTTGTTCAAGAGATAGATTTGTTACTAGTTAACAATCTTTCTCTTAGACGAAGGTTTCATACATGCAGTTGAGCCCCACGGTTCTTTTCTGCATCGATGAGAGATAATACCTGGAAACCGGTCTGTAGGTGATTTATTTGAATAACTTCAGCATGGTCCTGCTGCTGGTTGAACGAGAAACATCTGTGAGAATAACTTCGGTGAGGTATCTTTCATAAATGTCTGTCGGATATAATTCAATATCATTGAATGGTATTAGCCGGGGAAGTAGTTAATTTCCGGCAGGCTTCCGGTGGCAGGAAAAAATTTCATATCATTACTAATGCCGGATTTTTGTATAACATTTTCGAATTTTTACTTATATATAATGCAGATATCAGAAGTATAGATACCTTGAACATGAAAAAAGTGACCTGTTTGTTTTTTATACGATGAGTACTGCACAATGATAATGATATATTTATAAATTGATAAAAAATAATTATAAGAAAATGCTGAAGATCAGGTGATCAATGTACTATACACAAAGTATATCAACTTCTGTTATTATTTATAAGCAAAAAACATCCTGATACATTCCTAAAATACAAACACTTATTTCCAAATACAATACCTACCAATACACCAATAAGTAAAACAGTCGTAATCCATATATTCCGAATCATATTATAAATCAAAACCATTCAATACTGGTTCTTTTGTTCATGATTTTCATTTTTAAAGTCTTGAATAGGTTGATGCTCTATTGATCTAATCACAAATATTTGATTCAATATTATCATCATATATTGATAAATGAATATTACTGGAGTTTTTTCCTAACACCAAACTGCTATTTTAGCACCTCAACACGTGTTTCGATCACCGAGTGATCATCTTCAACAGGAAGATTAAACCAGGTATTTCAACACCTCGACACGTGTTTCGATCACCAATTGATCATCTTCAAGAGGAAGATTAAACGAGTTTAATCTTCCTCTTAAAGATTAAACTCATTTAATCTTCCTCTTGAAGATGATCAATTGGTGATCGAAACATGATGATTAGGAAAACTACAATTCACACTTAATTCAAGTAATCGAGCATAGTATTCATCTATTGTTTCTGATGATCTTTATTTACCTCTACAGAAATTGTATATTTCAACCTCTACAATAATTTGTAGTGTATAATGTTCATCTATATTAAGCTTGGCTATTCTGTATTTAGATCTAATAACTGGGGTGTTCGTTGTAGGGATTCGGGACTTTACAACTATGCCTTTTGTTATAAGCGATTGGAATATTAATGAACAAAAAAAATTCAAAATGATGAAGTACTACTTACTTTGGAGTTACTCTGACCAACTCCACAATATGAAATTTCACTGAGCTCATAATAAATTATGATTAAATTTTTTTTTTGCTAATGATGAATTTGCTGTATCTGAACTAGAATTGGAATTATAATGCTCACCTGGTTTGGCAGGTAGAGTTGGAGCTTTCAAATCTAACTCGGTAGCAAGAGACACTTCTCTACTAGAAGCATGAGGTTGCCAAGGAATCTCTTCCACAAAATTTGATGGAAAAACACCCTGTTTTCCGTTGAGACTTCCTTTCCACCAACCTTCTTCTTCCTCTCCAATTATATCAATTATGTCGCCTACCTTTAAGTTCAATTCATCTTCATGATCCTGATTATACGAAAAAACTACTCTACACTGTCGTATTCGTAAAACATCTTTCTTGTTTCGCAATGAAACTGATGAATCTTTCTCAAGAGGACGAACAAAATTGTCAGGAAACATCCCTTTTTTTTGATTCAATACACCTTCCCACCATCCTCCTTTTTTCTTTACTACATCTTTTATTATGTCACCTTTCTTGATAGTGAGTTCATCTGGTTCATTCGCAATATAGTCGAATTCTACGATAACTTCAACTGAAAATAAGTGAAACATAAACATAACTCACTTGGTATTCTGTAAAATTTATTTTATAAAGAATGAATAGGTACCCATCATGTTTTTCGTGAAGTTTTCATAGTTCACTACAGAATTTTATCAATGAATATATCAAGCCAAGCCCATATGATCTCACAATAATAAACTAAATACTACAGACTACAATAAACTAAATTTGACAAAACACGTATGAATGAAACATACATGTCAGTCATATGTCAAACGAGTCTGTCATATCTGTCATGCCACAGCCACAGAATCTGTGCCACACTCAGAGTAATATACGAGAATACCTACCAGGTAAGTATTCCTACCAGGTAGGTATTCTCGGGTAATATTGTCTTTTGTTACTCTGAGGTGCCACAGCTGCATTAGAATTGACACCCAACCGTGCCCAGAATTATGACTTCATTGGCATGAGGTGTGTTTTGTGGGCATCCATTTATTATCTTTATACTAAGTCTATATTACGTCTTTCTTGCCAGAACTTATTCGCATCCCTGTTCGATGTATTTTATTAACCAATGCGTCAAAGAGAGAGCAAATGCCAAATATATGAATGATGATGTATTTTGTTCGAGCACAGAGATCAAATTACCTGGAATTTTTATTCCAGGTGGCTTTGAATTTTGAATTTTCCAAAATACCACGCCAATTGGCGATCGGGGTTTTGAACATTATTGGCATGACGCCTGCAAGAACCCCATTTGAAAGTGCAATAAGGTTCATGGAATACCATGCCAAGAAACACTGCCAGCTGCCATCGAGCGTAAACTCGAAAGCAGCTGTATCAAGAAGGGTATATTTTTATTTCTACCAGTTCGGTCACAGAATTCCCCCTCCTCAGTGCGGGAATAGTAATGCTTTCTCGTGGAGACTGGCGGCCATCTTGCCAGGTTACATTTTTCATTGGTTGAAGTCATCGACATAACCTAATAACCTTAAACCTAGACTACTAATCCCATATAACAAAACTTCATCCATTTACGATATTTCAGTATGCCTTCAGGGCATGCGCAATGAAGTTTCATGACGTTTCCAAATCACATGGGCGTATCGCAGGAAAGAGGGATTGGATCTAATTTACAGAATATGAAAAATATTAATTTCTAAAATGCGTCATTAATTTTTTTTCAGCTAAAAGCTTATGTGATCGTGGGTTCAATACTCTAACTGAAGGGTCAAATATTGTTCTCTCGAGAATTTTCTCTGTCGTATTGGGGAAAGATTCTTTTCATGATTGACTGGTTCGCCGTGAATATCCATGCTGCTCCTGAGGTAACAAGGTCTACTCGCAGAAGAACTGCGTTTGGCGTTTGGTGTGAAAATACCATAAATAACAATAACTAACTAAAGATGACTGATGAGTTTTAGAACAAATTTCGTGTAAAAAATTATGATAGCAATTGGGTTTTGTAATTCTTCTGAACATTCGACTATGCAAACCATTGATTTTTTCTCAGTACTTGCCAGTAAATGCTTTGCCTTTAAAAAGTTTTTTTTCTATATTTTTTAGAGAAACCAGGTGAAATTCTTGGTTTTCATACTTATGTTTAATAGAGAAATCGAAAATAAACATTTGTATTATAATAGGTACTCTGTAACATTGTCCAAAGGTTTATATCTATAGACAATGTCTGTATGACTCTTCCTGACATCTATTGGCGAGTAGTAATACTATTTTTACCGAACAAAGCTCGCTCAGTGTCTAAGGATTTATTAGACAATGCTTATAACATAGAAATAAAAATGGATTCAGTAGAAATATAGATGCCCTAATATACATAAAGATAAACAAGTATCTTTGAAGGTAGTTAGGAGTCACACGTTGAAATGTAAGACCTCGTTAATCCTTAGCTCCTTAGTTTCGACTTCTGAGGGTTGTCGTTCGTAGGGTTGCGATAGCTGGTTAACGGAAAAACAGATTTTAAACAGATTTGAACAGTTGACGATGTTTCTTGTTGCATTTTATTAGTTCGAACTTCCATTGTCTAATATGATATAAATTGATTTGACATACCTGAAAGAATCTGTAAAAAATGATATTAAGCAAAATACTGAAATTACAATGAAATAAAATACAAGCAACAACTAAAAAAAAATAAAAAAAAATCAAATTTTTTGTTGTTGCTTGAAATTTTAGTTTATTTGCTTAATATGATTGTTATTTTTCAGCTAATATCTTTTTCAATTTTTTACGTATCCTCTACTATACTATACTAGACAATGGAATCCGAAAACGTCTTCTGAACTACGGTCGTACTCACACAAGACAATTCAAACAGTTTTTATCTCTCTCTCTTCAGCAACTCCTTACGTGTAGTTGTGACCAGAACTAAGGTAAGGAGAGCACAGTTATTTGTTAATTCTCATTCCCTAGCACCTCTGAACAAAAGGAATTATCCAATAAGATCTATTAAATACAGTCCATCAAGTCACTCAATATTCAACATGATCCTTCGAGCCGGATATTGTGAATTCTTGAAAATTTTCGTTTATCCGTTTTGTTCAGACTCTCTGGTTCTGAGACAAACAAATTTAATTGTCACCTAGTGACATCGTGACAAGTTGCTATTTAGTCCAAGAAGCTTAAAGTTTCAAGGCACAACTCATTTCGTTGCTCAGAAGAGAAAAACTCGTGTTTCACAAATGAAAAAGTAAGTAATCACGTATCTTTGCTTGCTCAGAAAGTTTCAGATAACTCCACCTCGCTTGACCTTGATAATGTTTCCACTGTGAAGGTTTTAGGTTTACAGTGGAATGCTTCCTCTGATCATTTCTCTTTCACTATATGTTCTAAGTCAGTACGGGAATTCGGTCAAAATGTTGAAGAAAACCAATTTCTAAATTGTCGACGTTTCAAACTTTATTGTTTCATCTTCAGGACTATTTAGGGCGGCTTTCCGAGTTGAAGGGTGAAGTGAATAATTTCGACATAAATTATAAATACTTACACAGGTTCCTGAAAGACGTTGACACAGACACGAAGGGATTAACAATCTGAACTGTCTGTAAATCGTTCTTTATAATTAAAAAAACCCATGGGTTTTTATTCTTCTTTATCCTTCTTCTTTATAATTCAAAAAAACGTGGTAGGGTTACAGAAATATTTAGCGATAACGGGACTAATTTCATTGGAACTTGTCAAATTCTCAAAGTTTTTCATACTGCTGCCGAACAAGAGCTAATCGAGTGGAGTTTTATTCACCCTTCTAGCCCCTACTTCGGTGGATTGTGGGAGGGTGCTATCAAGTCAGTGAAAAATCACACCTCTAGAGTCCTTGGAAATCAGCTTCTCACCTACGAAAAATTCAGCACTTTATTGGTCAAAGGGTACGGTGATTTTAATTAAGCATGACTCAGTGCCTCCCACAAGTTGGCAACTTGGCCGTGTGGTTGAAGTTTATCCGAGTACGGTCGGAGTAGTACGCGTTGCATCTGTAAAAACTCCTAATGGATTGCTCAAACGGTCAGTGGTAAAACTTTGTCCTTTACCACTCGACAGTAATTAATAAAATGCCTCGGTATTTTAATGAAATTCTAGCGATGTTTTGAAAGTGTGCTGAAAAATGCACATCTGGAAGATCACAAAAAATAGTGAATCATCGTGAGAATAATGCAGGTATGAAACCTGGAGAGTTGAATTACTTAATTGGATTTTATAGAAATTCCACTCAAATAATTGTAATCCACAGTGCCTCGAAACGAATTGAATACAAGAGAGTTATATGAGCTACTTAAGAAGTCACAAGAAAAACGAAACGAAAAACTTAACCAATAAATAAATGGAAATAGGACAGAATACGAAAAGAAACTGCTGGAAACTTAAAGACCAAATAACTGTTCTACAAGAAAGAAATATCGCTTTGGAGAGATAAGTCAGAAAGAACAACATTGTATTTGGGTTGGATCAGAAACGAGATAACTTGATAGAACAAACTCTTGAAAAAATAATTTTTTTACTGAAATGGAGTCTTACAAGATATTCCAACTTGGCAAACACAAATTTAAACAAGAAGTACTCATTCAATCCGTTTCCTTTCTGAGTAAACAGGCTATTTTTCAAAATATTGCCTAGCTGAAAAATGAGGAAGTTTCTATTGTGAATGACTTGTGCCCTGAACATCGCGAGAGGCAAATAATAATCATCAAACATATGAAAGCAGTCAGAAGTAATGATAGCAAAGCGAAAATACGCGGATGCAAATTGGAAATCGAAGAGAAACTATACTGCGTGAAAGAATTAGAAAACCTAGAATCTGAAGCAAATTTTTAAGTGAGGAGAAAGAAGGAATGACTTAAAAATACAACAGAGAATAAATTAAGTCGGTGAAATACAAAAAAAGGAGTGTTTTAGACAAGTCGAATATCCACCCAAAATTACTGGTGGCAACACATCAGAGAAGAATCCATCCCTCTCGTATAGTACGTATATTTGCATTTCTTTTATAGAGGAACAACTTTTTTATACTGTTTCCACATTATTCCTGGTTTTTATCGTTCATTGAAATGTAGTTATTGTTTCAATAGAAACATTACAAATATATTATGATTATAATTTATTCAACATTACAGGCCATAATGCAATATAAAACAAAGGTGACTTTAATACTCATGATGGCGTGATTATGTATATGAATAATTATTTAGAACAGGGGTCGGCAAGTAGTTTTAGGTGGGGTCCGGTAACCCCACCTAAAAATTTATCTTTGGGAAAGATGTTTCACATACATATATCGAGCCAAACATAGTGGCCTAATTTATAGCTAGTTTCTTGCAATTTTTATATTTTTCTGAAACATGTTTGGTCCAAAGTTCTTCAGTGAATATCGTTTTACATATTTGCAGACACATCTTCTTGCAAATCGATTATCTCTATTTAAAGTGATGCCTTTGACAACCACATCTGTTCATTCTGCTGCTACATCAACTTCAAATGACGATTTAAGAAACGGAGATAGCTTGCCCATCTCTGCAAAGTCTTGGAATCTTGTAGCAAATACATTCCTAAGATCGGCCAGAAATTTTACAAACACTGCAATGTCTTCTTCAGAGTTCTTTTTATATTAAAGAATTGTCGGAATATGAATACATTCTTGTCTTGCAATATCTTTTTCAAAGATATTGCGACGAAAAACAGATACTTTTTGTATCAGATCACATATTGATTTTCCATTTCCTTGTGATTCTGTGT